AAATTGATTTATCATAAATTCTTATAAATTTTATCAATAGATTTAGATTTGTAGTGTTAAAAGGGAACCAAATTTGGGTCAATATATTTAAATAATTTTTCAGAAACACTTTTATATTTCAATAAAATTTTTAGCAAGGCATAGAAAAAAATATCTAATACTGATGCTAACAAAGGAATACATATTCATTGGGTATCAACAGGATTTAATTGACAATAGGAATTAATACAGAAATATGTTCTACCTAGACATCTACTTTCATTAAAATCTGAACACTATGAATTTTTATTACCAGTACTTATCATGGCGGCCAAATAAGTTTTTACTGCAAATTTGGACTAGCATACATGTATTTATACCTAAATATCAATTTTCAGTGAAACCAAGGCACAGATTATAAGTTTATCAAAAACTAAATTTTCCCGTAAATCAAAATAGGCCTTCCTGTTATAGATATAAAAACTGATCATTAAAATTATGGAAACCATCTTTTTTTCAATACAGACTTAAGGTACAACAAAGAAGTATTGATGGACAGGCAGGCATACAGACACAAACATACCAGCATACAGAGTGATTACTATATGACACTACTGACCAGTTAGGGGCCCTAATTATTACAGAATATTTTACTCATTTCAGCAAATTATTTTGTTTACTGGGGCTGTTTTGATGATTCAAAAATCAAAGATCCTTTATATTCTGTTAGAGTCTCTTATTTAGGAGCCAGAAAGCTGACTCTGATGTGTTTTGCAAAATAGCAAACATATGCTTTTCATCGAACCAAAGTAATAACATATGAAAAGTACGTGCTAAAGAACATTTTTCTAATTCTTAGCCGATTTATCCTTTTCCTGACCTGTTGATTATTTATATTCAATCAAACATGTGGTTTCTTTGATCTCAGTTCATCATTGGTCAAAAATCAACTTTGACGTAAAATTTTCTTGCCTTCCTCTGAATTTCCTATTGTGACATCACGAAAAAAGGCGGCCATGGCTGAAGACTTTACATAGAAGGAACACAGCTTTTTGCAGATCATTAGAAAATGAAGGATTAACTTTGTCAAAAAATGTGGATAGTGTCCACATGTGGACACAGATGATGCCCAAGCTTGTATATCATATAGTTATAAAGGAACATAACTGAAGAACGGTAAAAGTGACCCTACCCAAATTTGAACTTGATCTGAGTTTTGTGGTAATAAGCATTGTGTGCAAGTCTCATAACATTTGGTTGAGGCTAACTTAAGTAGAGAACAAAAACTAAAAATTCAGCAATTTTTCTATTTGTAAAAACGCATAACTCTAGAACAGTTGTGTATAAGTTTTATAACATTTGGTTGAGACAAACTAAAGTAATAGAATGGAAACGAAAAATTCAGCAATTTTTATGTTTATAAAGGGACATAACTCATGAATGGTAAAAGTGTTGCCACCAAATTTCTTACTTAATTTGTATTATGTAGTAATAAGCATTGTGTATAAGTTTCATAACATTTGGTTGAGGCAAACTAAAGCTAGAAAACGGAAACAAAAAATTTGTACTTGATCTTAGTTTTGTGGTAATGAATATTGTGTATAGGTTTCATAATGTTAGGTTGGGGCAAACTAAAGTTACAGAATGGAAACTAAAAATTTTGCAATCTTTCGATTTATAAAGGGGCATAACTCAATAATGGTTAAAGTGACACTACCAAAATTCAACTTGATCTGTGTTTTATCAGTGGAAGTCAAATATAAACATTGCATTGTATAAAGCATTGATTGTAGTTGATTCAACTATTATCATGGACAAAGGAAGATAACTCCAATTTTAAAAATTACTCGATATTTAGAAGAAAATAAAAATTTTGCAATTTTTCCATTTATAAAGGGGCATAACTCTAAAACGGTTAAAGTGACGCCACCAAAATTCAAACTTGATCTGTGTTTTGTGGTAATAAGCATTGTGTATAAGTTTCATAACATTTGGTTGAGGCAAACTTAAGTTAGAGAACGGAAACTAAAAATTTTGCAATTTTTCTATTTATAAAGGGGCATAACTTTAGAACGGTTGAAGTGACGCCACCAAAATTCAAACTTGATCTGTGTTTTGTGGTAATAAGCATTGTGTATACGTTTCATAACATTTGGTTGAGGCAAACTTAAGTTAGAGAACGGAAACTAAAAATTTTGCAATTATTCCATTTATAAAGGGGCATTACTCTAGAACGGTTAAAGTGACGCCACCAAAATTCAAATTCGATCTGTGTTTTGTGGTAATAAGCATTGTGTATAAGTTTCATAACATTTGGTTGAGGCAAACTAAAGCTAGAAAACGGAAACAAAAAATTTGTACTTGATCTTAGTTTTGTGGTAATGAATATTGTGTATAGGTTTCATAATGTTAGGTTGGGGCAAACTAAAGTTACAGAATGGAAACTAAAAATTTTGCAATCTTTCGATTTATAAAGGGGCATAACTCAATAATGGTTAAAGTGACACTACCAAAATTCAACTTGATCTGTGTTTTATCAGTGGAAGTCAAATATAAACATTGCATTGTATAAAGCATTGATTGTAGTTGATTTAACTATTATCATGGACAAAGGAAGATAACTCCAATTTTAAAAATTACTCGATATTTAGAAGAAAATAAAAATTTTGCAATTTTTCCATTTATAAAGGGGCATAACTCTAAAACGGTTAAAGTGACGCCACCAAAATTCAAACTTGATCTGTGTTTTGTGGTAATAAGCATTGTGTATAAGTTTCATAACATTTGGTTGAGGCAAACTTAAGTTAGAGAACGGAAACTAAAAATTTTGCAATTTTTCTATTTATAAAGGGGCATAACTCTAGAACGGTTGAAGTGACGCCACCAAAATTCAAACTTGATCTGTGTTTTGTGGTAATAAGCATTGTGTATACGTTTCATAACATTTGGTTGAGGCAAACTTAAGTTAGAGAACGGACACTAAAAATTTTGCAATTATTCCATTTATAAAGGGGCATTACTCTAGAACGGTTAAAGTGACGCCACCAAAATTCAAATTCGATCTGTGTTTTGTGGTAATAAGCATTGTGTATAAGTTTCATAATGTTTTGTGATAATAAGCATTGTGTATAAGTTTCATAATGTTTTGTGATAATAAGCATTGTGTATAAGTTTCATAACATTTGGTTGAGGCAAACTCAAGTTAGAGAACAGAAACCAATTTTGGGACGTACGTACGTACGTACATTGTACAGATGGACAAGGGTAGAACTTAATGCCCCGCGGGGACATAAAAATCATTAGAAAATCAAATTCTACCACCAAATCTCATGCAATACCATATTTCTACACTCTCGACAGTTAAATCTTAAATATTTAAAACGCTCAGCGAGCCTCACATTTTAAATCAGAAAATTTAGCTGACTTGAGCGAAAAAATATAGTATCACAATGGATGCAGTGGTAAAATCTATATTTCTGCATTTTTTTTTCATTTTCTTTTATCTGTTCTTAAAAGAAAATAAATTGTAACTTCCCAAATCATTTCAATGTAAACTTTGACCTCTGCTGGTGCCTTATTTGATTTTTTTTAAAGAAACAACACTTGTTACACAACGAGAATCATCCCCGTCATTTCATTTCACTTAGTTCTTGAGAAGATCTTTGAATATCTCACCTATTGGACTTTTGAAAAGTAACAAAACTTGGTAAGCTTTTCTAAGGAACATTTCTGCGATTGTATTTTTTTTTTTTTATTTCATCTGTTATTGAAAAGAAAAGCAATTTCACGTAGAGCTCCAAAGTAAACTTTGACCTCTACTGGTGTCTGTTTTTTTAAATCTGATTAGCACCAAAGTTACAACACTTGGAAAAGACCTTCTATAGAACATCTTTGCCAGGTTTGATTTCATTGTGTTTAGTGTTTTTCAAGGAGAAGATCAAAATATGAAAAGCTAATGGACGGACGCCATGTGATGACTTTAAAAGCTCACATTTGGACAAGCAACAAAATTAGCCAAAAAATTCAATTCTTTAACATTGGGTAAAACATTGCACTTACCCAGTAATGCTGATGGGCAACATTACACTGTCTTGGGTGAAGATCCGGGCAAGTGATCCCAGAAAGTATATTCACAGGATAAATAGAGTTGACGACATTTAAAATATCCATTTTATATACTCCATAGATATAAACTGTCACATTCATACAATTATTTCAATAAAATTGATTCAGAAATATTCAACAAGAGAGAAAGGTAAAAGTTTACAGATTCTTTACATCCTTTTCATAGATCTATTATAAAATAAATTGTCTACAAATCCTCTTTTAAACAAAACAAACTTTATCCATTAATCTACATAAATACAATTATATCCTTTATCTAATTATTACTTGATTAACTAATCATGTTTCTCAAGACAAAACTATTTTGTCTCCTGTACCATGCGTTCCCACCTCAATAAAATACTAAATGTAACTATTTACTGCAAACAAGTTCAAAATACTAGAACACTCTTTCTTTTTCAATGTTAAGCAGCTGGTTTTTTTCTAAACACTGTTTCTTATTCATTCACTAATAATATTTATTATAATGTATTCATAAAATAATCAAAATACAAATATTTACAAATTTAGAAATAGTAATTGGGATTTAACCTGATGTTTTTTTCAAATCCTTGGGGAAACCTATATACAAAGATATGATCTTACTAATTGATGTAAGTATTTTAATGCAGAGGGGAAGTACATCCTTCTTTTGCTGTAAATATGGTAACATGATTGAAATGTAAATGTTTATTTAATGGGTGATCCAACTGACAACATGATGCTTTTGGACAATGAATGCTCAACAGTAACACTTCTTCAAGATAAAATTACTTAGGTTTCCTGTTACAAGAAAATTAGATCTACATTCAGGAGTTTTAAAATTCTGAAACATACCATTTAAACAAAAATTTATGTGTAGACAAACCTGCTTTAAAGGTCACCTCTTTAAAACAAAAAAAAAACTGTCTTCTTACCTCTTTCTTCCTCCTTTCAAACTCCGCAGCCTGCTGAAGCTGTTGTTCTAAGGTATCCCAATCCATCTGAGGAATAGCTGTCTCAATGTTATATACATCAAAGTCGTCCTGTCCATCTATGTCATTTGTTTGTTTTAACTGACCATTCACAGCAGACCTCTTTGGAGATTGGTTTGGAGATGACTTATTTTTACGTTCATTCATTAGCATTTCTTTGATAGAATTGCTGTTTAGATCTTTGGTTTTTGTCTCACTAGTTGCTGATACATCCTGAAATGGATTGCTACGGACCTCTGATGGTGTATTCATTTCGGATGGATTTTTTGAACTTGTAGCTGAACTACATTCACTAGAAGAAGTTTCTTCTACCAAGTTTTGACTTTTGTGCAAATCAAACGGTAAAGCGTCAGCATTCACTTTTTTAAGTTCTGCGAATTCTTGTGCAATACTTAGCAAATTTGTCTTCCTAACACGTCTACTGAAGTCTTCCTCCGTTTCCCTAACTCTGCGCTCAAGCTTACCAGTACTTACAGAAGAATCTGTCAGTTCATTTTTATCGTAAATATGAATGTCAGAAAATTCTCTTAAGGGTGCTGAAATTTCAACACTATAATCTGAAGAAACTGAATCTGTGTCGGTGTCACTTTTCAATTTGTTCAACAAAATATTCCGACAGGGTGAAAGAGAACTTCTAGCAACCCTGTCATCAGGAGTTGATTCTCTAGAAAATTTGTCACTCAGAATTTTATCTAACAAAGGTTCATTTGAATGTGTCACCTTCATTACACTTTTTTCACTATCACCATCCTTTTCTTCTGAATCAACAATTTGTTTTTTGTCCTTTGCATTACAATAACGTCTCCAAGCTCTTTGAATCCTAGATGAAAATTAGAAATTTATATTTATAAATAATCATGCATGAATGTGCTTTTAATACAATTAACTGGATAATAAATACTAGAGGCTCTAAAGAGCCTGTGCCCCTCACCTAGATCTATGTGCATATTAAACAAAGAACACTCTTCAACATAGTAGACGCGAATAAAGTTCATGACAAAAATCTCTTTTATTTTATCTTGTAAAGGCTTATTAGTCCAGGTGAGCTAATAAAGATATATTTTTCAATTTTATTCTCCCAACATTTTAAATTCTTAAATATTTTTGAGGTCACAAAATGTAAGATGTAGGGATGTATCCAGTTGTGTTCTACTGTTGTTTAGTCTGCCAATTACAACCTTCCAGACCGGTTTGTATTCTGTGTAACCAATAATTACTTACAATTCACAAATTCAGGTTTTTATGATACATTTTAATGTTTGAGTGTTGTTTCCCTTTGCATCAACCAAATTATACAAATATAATAGACTTACTCGTGGGAAAATTCAATTTCTTGGTTTAATCTATCATTGATAAACCCTAACAGTTAATATACATTTCACAGTCAATATATTTTTTTTTATTCAAAATCTGCCCGTTGTAACATTTTTATTTTATCAAATATATAACCGAATAAAAGTATCTATTGTTGAAGAGGTTGATATTGACCTCTAGATGCATTTTTATCTTATATTCTAGAATGATTCAAAGCCAGAAAGGTACATAAGCATGAACTTACGTAATTACGTGCGATATATATTTTCTAGCTCTATTTCTTCTTGTTGTAGTATTGTCATCTAACAAAACTTCTAGCTGGTGACTGAAATAAATTAATGAAGGAAAAAATGTGAAACAAGAATAAGTGTCCAATGAACGCCAGGTCTGTGCGTGCTATCACATTCTTATACCTGTAAGTGTCAAGTTGATGCAACTACAATTTCACAGTAAAATATCTAAAACCAAAACTTAAAATAGATACATGATATCATATGTGGGGATAAAAATGAAGTAGGCATGCCTTTATATATATTCTTGGTCCAAAGTTCATGCAAATTTGTTGTCAATATACATAACTGTGAAAGTCCTTTTTCACTAGATTTTGTTGCTTGCAGGAAAATAATTAGTTTAAAGGTTGTTGAAATTCAGTTGAATTTCTTTTTTTATCATGTTTATACCAAATCATTTCAATCTTTTGAAAATATGCATTTTTTATTCCAATCTTTTGAAAATATGCATTTTGTTATGTACCTACTACTTTGATGAATAACAAAATCCATAATTATCCAACCAATAAAAGTATTATTACAGTATTACATTGCAGTATCAGACTACACGAAATACGTCGGACCGTCGGACAAATCTGGTGAATAATGGATAGGTCTGGTAAAATTTTGTTGAATTCCGGTCCGAATGTCCGGTGTTGTTTTTTTCGTGGATTTTTTTAAAAACCCTACATTTTTCCCAATATTGGGAGCAAAATTCCCAAACGATCTCAAAATTCATTCTCATCTTTATTATTCATGACAGCGATGTTTATTTTGTTCAACCGCTAGCTTTATGCCGAAAATTGCATACACGTAATGTGTAAATCCGAATAAAAACATATCTGACTGACAAAAACAACAATGGCATCCATCAACCGGAAATATAAACAATACCGGATCAGATTCCGGGAACGGATAAGGTCAATTTCCGGGTTTGCCGATCAAATACAATAGAAACATAAAAAAAAAATCCAAGCAGGTTCACAAAATACAGCTATGAAATATAAACACTAGAATTGAAAACCAAAAGATATATGAAAATGAAAGAAGATACAGGAAATATTTTATACAAAAACTCAAAATTATTTTTAGTTCACAAATAATTTTCATGTCAAAATCCAATAAAATGTGACATTAATTTTCTTTATCAGTGAAATGCATTCAAGCAATTGTGCACAACTTTCATCAAAATATACACTCTTGTCACATGATTTTGTTTTTGTGCATTTTGGAGAGGAAGGGCACAACAAGTCATAAGATTGTTGTATTTTGTCGGATAATATACAATTAGATGTAAAAAAAATTGGTCTGGTAAAATTTCATTCGGTCTGGTAAAGCTAGGTTGTTTCCAGACCGAATGTCCTGTAAAAATAAAATTCATTCGTGTAGTCTGCAGTATTACATTACAGTATTTTGCATCGTGAACTTTCACTCCCATTTTATAACATTCCCCTTGAAGTGATAATATGACAAGAGTTCTTCAAAATCACTTTATTAAATAACAACATGTTTAATTCATGCTCTAGACAAAGCTTAATACCACTAATTCAAAGTCCAAAGTAGCTATTGACTGCTTGTACTGTGAATTCAGCCTTAACATCACTTATAGTTGACAAATTCATTGTACATAAATGAAATGTACTTATATAACCTCATAATATCTCATCAACAACTACATAAAAAGTTAGCTTCAGGACTGGGCCTGTACTAATATGAAATATTTCAACTGACTAATAATTTCCTTTTGGCATACTTTCTAAGATTTAACTTGAACATGATATCTTATAATTATTCATTTTAGTTTCACCACTTAATCCATTTCAAATATGTGTATGATTTGATAATTTGGTGTATTATTAAGACAGAAAAGGTCAGATATCTACAAAGAGCCAAGACATATTTATTGAATACATTGTGTCTAATATTGAGGACTGGTATGTTATATTAACAACAGAGCATGCATTGGCCAAAGGACGCAAAAACATCCATGTCAAGCTTATTTTTCTTCCTGACAAAACTTTTCACATATAATTGATTGATTGATTGTTGTTTGCTTAACATATATAGGCATCTAGGGGCAAATATTTCAGGTATATACTTGTTCATGATGAGGACTAATAAACAATAAATACAAACGGTAGCTTCTGTAGAGTGGGTTAACTTTGATCAAGGGTGGGAATTTCTATTAGGGGCAGTAAATTTACCTTGCCAAAAATTCCCTTCAGACTTCAAAGAGTTGTTGTAAGGGGACAGTAAAATGCAGAGTGCATGGCACTATTCCCACAAGGCTGTATATTTATACATCCTGCACAGCCAAATGGACACCCTCTTTAGCATGGTTTTATTTTCTCACAGGTGGTATAAGTCCAGGGATGACCATATTTTTAATACCTGAGTCAATACTTGTGTTTTTCATACATGAGTTTGAGGAACTGAATTATGAACTTACAGTATGTATAATATCTCTGATTAAAATAACCCAGAATTCCTGTTCAACAAGAAGCCTGAATATCTCACTTGTATCATTAACAATGTCTCAATCAGTGATAATACAAAATATGCTTGTGACCAAGGACCACAAATAGACCAAATCATCCACCTTTCATGCCATTAATTAACTTCAAAGGAGTAGGTTCACAAATGGTTAAAATTGGCCCTTAGATAATGTACTCTTATGAAAGGAACCGCCTTGCTACAAGCGCCGATCTACAGGCCACCAGCGTATACATGGACCAAGGATTATTCCATACATGCGACAAAACAACAACTGAACCAAGATTACCAAGATTTCCGATACCACCTTACATGCATGTACATCTATAAATGATAGCAGAAGAAACGGACCACACACCACGCGGGTGCCGAACATAAATGAACTATAAATTTACAACCATGCCGATAAACAGACCAACTACAGCAGACGATCAAAAAATTATATATATACCAAATAATTAACAAAGGAACAATTTTTGACAATTTCATTTTCCATTAGCGGCGACCAAAATCTTCCCATTGTTGCCGACACACCAGGAAGTAGTAACATCCAACAATGGCCAAGTTGGAAGAGAAGCCTTGCGAAGTGGTAGGAACCATGGGAAGATTGTCCATTTAGATACCAAGCCTTTAGAACAATGTCATGTATCATATAAAAGTAAAAAGAACTCAATTTACATTGTAAACAAACTTTATTTTTCTATATTTATCTTATCTATTTATAACTCTTTATTGCTACTTTCACTTTTCATTGTTTCTCTCACCTTGACAACGTCAAATTCAATGTACCACTTTGAGTACTTCAGTAATTAATTTCTGTATGAAAATTGTCCTGATGACCCCTGCCCTGCAGGCGAAACATGTAGACCATAGCAAATAAAATTGCAGACCATTTCAAGTGTTGTTGTCAATTTTGAGTAGTATTCTTATGAAAAAAGTTGAAATCCAAGGCCATAACTGGTCAAAAGTGAACCTTGTCCTTTAGTGATAAAAAATGAAGAAAAAAGTGTTTTATAGTGTAAAATCTGTATAAAATTTAAATCACTGCTCCATCTCTATAATCCATTTTTTGCAATAAGCTTTAATAAGCTGTTAACACAGAGATATGTCTCGCCTTTTTGTACTTTTGATAATGCAAATGTTGAAATTAAAATAGCAATACTTTAACATGTAAGTTATGCAAATATTCAAAGTCAATGAACCATAACTGAATGTACATGGCAAAACAATCTCCATAGAAATGAGATGTGCCAATAATGCTAATACAACTGCATACCAAATACCATAGACTTATCATAAGTCGTTCCCTTTCAACAAACCTAAACACAAACATTGACTTGTAAACTATGTAAAAGTTTCAAAGTCAATGAACCATGATGAGGGGGTGAGGCTATAAATCTCCATGGAAACGAGACTTGCAAATGCCAATAAATTTGCATACCAAATATCATTGACTTAACATTAGCGGTTCATCTTAAACTGATCTAATCACAAACTAATACATGTAAACTAAGCAAAAGTTTCAAAGTCAATAGACCATGACTGAGGGGGTGTGACCAAATATTCTCCATGGAAATAAGATGTGCTAATGCTTATACAATTGCATACCAATTAACATTGGCCTACCACTACTGGTTCCCCTTGAACTGACCTAATCACAAACTAATACATGTAAACTAAGCAAAATTTTCAAAGTCAATAGACCATGTTAGACTGAGGGGGCGGCCACAAATAATCTCCATGGAAATGAGATATGCCAATGCTTATACAACTGCATACCAAACATCATTGACTTACCACTAATGGTTCCCCATAAACTGACCTAATCACAAACTAATACATGTAAACTAAGCAAAAGTTTCAAAGTCAATAGACCATGACTGATGGGGCAGGGCCAAATAATCTCCATGGAAATGAGATGTGCCAGTGCTAATACAACTGCATACCAAATATCATTGACCAACCACTAGTGGTTCACCTTAAACTAGACCTTATCATAAACTAATACATTATTGGCACCGCCGCCGGAAACAGCATACCTATGTCTCACTTTTTGACTCCGTCAAGGCGAGACAAAATAGACAAGAGTGCACATGCTGAAATGTCTCCCCTGCTTTACTATTATTGATTTATTTTATGTTGATAGTCCTAAAGATAAAGTTTTACTACAAAAATCACATTAATTTAACATTATCAATTCAATGACCCATGAAAATTAGTCAAGGTCAGATAATCCAAGCCAGACAGACATATACACCTTAAAATCATCACATACACCAAATATAGTTGACCTATTGCTAAAAGTATACAAAAACAGACCAAACCATGAAAACTTAATATTGACCAATGAATCATGAAAATGAGGTCAAGGTCAGATGAACCCTGCCAGACAGACATGTACACCTTACAATCATTCAATAAATCATATATAGCTGACCTTATGACTTACAGTATCTGAGAAACAAGACTTAACAAGGAAAACTTAACATTGACCAATGAACCATGAAAATAAGATCAAGGTCAGACGAACCCTGTCAGATAGACATGTAAACCTTACAATCAT